CTAAACAAAAGATCCCTCAGGAGAAGAAGTAAAGGAGTGAGCACCCCGTGGGAGCAGAGGAAACTGCCCTGAGCAGCACTGAAAGGACATACAACAGAGAGCCACAAAGGACCCCTCGTGTAAAGACGCATGGACACCAATGCAAATGCCTGACCAAAAAGATAACATGCCTTCCCCTACCATGGATATTCACCAACTGAAGCACATTTAGACTGATAGTGTAACTAACTGATGTTTTCGGTCTTTAACAGTCACTCGTCAACTTCTTAAGGCACTTTTCTTTGTATTTATAACATTTAATTTATAGCTATTATCTGGTATTTAAAAAAATCTTAACACAAAATATTTTCTGCAATGTGCTGCCAGCACTGCAGACAAGGTCAGTCAGATGAAACTGTCCGTCAGTCAAGAGAGGCTGAAGAGTAACATGCAAAGTCCAAAACAGCCCAGTACATGTGGTTGACTCTCTGAAGTCAGATTCATTGCTAGTATAGGGTAAGTGTTTTCCAAGATCTGTGTTTCTTTTCTTTTTCTTTCTTTTTTTGTTTTTGGATCTAAAGACAGAATCTGAGTGATTCGGAGAACTGAAACAAACCTTTTTTTTTTTCTTTCAATCTACATAGACCAGCACAGTGATGATTAAATCATCTGACTGTGACAGCCGTTCAGAATGCAGTAAAGTCATATCATCTGAATTGAGGAGGCTTTGAAAATTTGAATTTTTTTTTCTCTTAAATATAAGTAAAGTCTTGGCACCACATTGGTACAAAATAAATCAATTCTTTAATCCTGTAGACCTGTGGTTCTCAAATTGGAAAACACAAAGGTTCCAGCCCCCAAAAAAGTCAGGATTATCACACCAGCTAACTCTTGTTTCATTTTTTCCATACTAATATTTTTTAAATACATTTTAAAATCAAAGCAAACAAACAAAAACAATAAACAATAAAAAAAAAAACATTCTTTCATTATAGTTTAAATTCAGTTTGACTATAGTTTGTCATCCATCCAGTGCTGCCATAATTTGAAATCATCTTTCAAGCCTTAAATGATTTTGTCACAACCTCCTCAGTGCTAACACATCACCACAGCTTCAGATATACTGAAATGAATGTGCTGTTGTATTTGGTAACGAGAAAGTTCATGATTGAAGTGCAACAATCCTGGACTGAAACAGCAGGCACTCATGCACTTTGGAAGTTTTTGCTCATTTATTTGCTTTTCATTTGAATCCAGTGCGCCTTAAATTAAAAAAATTTAAAAAATTAAAAAAGTCACCTCAAAAACTACGCGACCTGCCATCTGCTGGTGGAAAAGATGCTCTTATTGTCTTTAAAGTTGGGTAGATTTCTTAAAGGCAGTCCTTAACTTCTGTTGTTGTTTTTTTTTAAATATATTTCTTACTGTAAATATTCTCAGCAGAATTCTCTGAACAGCAGGATCTGTCATAACTTACAACGCGCACGCAGTTTAATTGTTTTGATTTATTCATCATCTACTTTTTTGTCAGGTTGTTAGTTAGTTAACTGGAAAGTTACACATATGCATCACCAAACACATGGGCGTTTGACAGCCACCAGTACAGAGGAAGAAACAGGCTGTTTTTTTTCTTTGGTTTTTTTATTTTGTGGAGGTTTCTGGCTGTGTGTCAAGTAACAGGGTATTATCGACAGACATTCTTAAAAAGAATAAATTAGAAGCAGCAGAAATTATGAAAAATAATGACATGTAGGGTTCGTTTTGGGGTGGATGAAACGATTCTGAAATGTTGACCATGACCTGTTAAGGTCAAGATTTGCTTCACCTCTGAGACATTGCAGTTATTTTAGTGCATATGTGACCTTTTACAGATCAGCTCACAAACACTGAAACCTCTTAGTCGCTCATGGACACGCATCCAAAAGTAGATCACGGAACTCACAAAGCAAATGCTTACACATTTTTAGGTTTTTTTAAATAACATTCAATTATATGAATGAAATCCATTGATGCTCCCTCTGTACTGCAGTACTGTACATAATATGTGCAAAGCTCAACCTGAAGAGTGAGTCTGTTTCAGTGTTTGTGAACTACTGGTTCTTCCAACAACTGAAATATCTTAAGAAATAAAGTAAAATGATCACATAAACGTAAATTTTGCTGTAACTGTTCAGATCCCAACTTCTGATGTGAACATACAGTATACCGTAATGTGCTGTACGGAATAAAACTTGGAATCATCTGTCTCCTGGAATTTGTGTCCTATGCTTAACAATTCAAGAGTCATCAACATTTTCTATGTTTGAAATTTTTTTATTTTTTATTTTGGTCGTTTTTATGGAAGCATCCTTCCCTTAAGCGGTCGAATTTGAGGTAAAGTCTCTGGAGCCAGAGGCACAACCTGGCATACAGTTTGTTTTTACCTTCCTGTGGAAATACACTGTGAAAAAAAGCACACGATAAATAGCTCCTTCATCGGCCACTACAGCAGCTACCTTCATCACTGTAGTCACAGCAAACAGATCTGCTCTGTGTATTTCTACCAGGCAGTGTAGCTGTGTGTATATTTCAGGCATGTATACACATCCGTGTGGTGAGTCTGCCTTTGTGGTTACACGATACATATGTGTGCAGTGATCTGAGGTGTACGTTCCAGCCTGTGCAGGCATGAAATCTGTATGTGTCCACTCAGGTAAATAGGATGTGTTTCTAAAATCCAGTGGCAGCATAGTCACTAGAACGTCTGTTCCCACCCACATGCAGGAGGGCGTAGCGACATGTTTGACTCCACTCATCTAAAAGCACATAGTGCCCAGACAGAGTGGCGCATGTTAGCTTTACATAAGGTGCCTGTTTTGTACGGCTCAGGAACCCATTTCAACTCTCCCGTTTGAAGAGTAAAGTGAAACTGAATCGGCACCTAGTGAGCAGACTTCTTAGTAGTTGTTTGCAATCTACAACAAACAGGAAATTCAATGAACAAATCATAGAAGGTGTTTCAGAGTTGCAAATCACACAATATTAAAGGATATCCAAAATATTGAAACATAACTAAGAACCACTCATTGCCTTTCACACTTTCCTTATTTTCTGTCATATATATATATCTACATCTATATGTATCTATATAGATATATATATAGATATGAAGTGGGGGAAATGATTACTTGGTCCCCTGCTGAATTTGTAAGTTTGCGTCATTGATTTGCTCATTTACAATGAAAAAAATTTAATCTGATTTTTATGGTAGTTACAATTTAATAAAGAAAGATAAAATACCTACTCAAAAATCCAGAAAAAAATGTGTTACATAAAAGTTAATACATTTATTCGCATGTCACTGAGTGAAATAAGTATTTGAACCAGACAGAGTTCAGTCTCCCACTGATTGGCTGTGTCTCACATCACAATCAATAAATCATCAAGTATAGATAAAGCACAACTGTCCACAGAAAAATGCTGAGTATGATCCAAAGAACACCATCCCCTCAGTCAAGCACAGAGGTGGAAACATTATCCTTTGCGGCTGTTTTTCTGCTAAGAGTACAGGACGACTTCATCACATTCAGGAGCCAAAGTTGGGACCACATACCGTAAAATCTTGGCCGAGAACCTCCTTCCTTCAGAGGTCTAAAGATGGATGCGTCTTCCAGCATGACAATGAACCAAAACATACTGCCAAGGCAACAAAGAAGTGGCTAAAGAAGGACAAGTTAAGGTCATGGAGTGGCATAGTCACCAGACACTCGGCCTCAATCTTACAGAAAATCTATGATACGTATGCAAACCTGGTGAACACCTATAAAAAACATCTTCCTACTTCCAGCGGTTGCCATCAAGGGTTTCTGCACCAAGTACTAAGTTGAGTTTTCCGTTGGGGATCAAATACCTTTTTCTCTTAATGACATGCAAATAAATTTATAACTTTTATATATTTTGTGTGTTTTCTTGATTGTCTATCTCTCTCTCTTAAAATGAAACTACCATAAAAATGAGAGAATGTTCATTTCTTTAAAAGTGAGCAAACTTATTTCCCCTTCTGTATATTCCTTTAATGGTACATGGTAAATGGCCTGTATTTGTATAGCGCTTTTACTAGTCCCCTCTAGGGACCCCAAAGCACTTTACACACCCAGTCATCCACCCATTCACACACTGGTGGAGGCAGCTACAGTTGTAGCCACAGCTGCCCTGGGGCAGACTGACAGAAGCGAGACTGCCATGTCGCACCATCGGCCCTTCTGGCCAACACCAGTAGGCGGTAGGTGAAGTCATTGCCCAAGGACACAACGACCGAGACTGTCCGAGCTGGGGCTCGAACCGGCAACCTTCCGATTACAAGGCGAACTCCCAACTCTTGAGCCACGATCGCCCTTTACAGCACTAGATGCTCATAATAAATAAAGCCAAAGTTTCAAATGATATATGAGTATGTGTAAAGGTAATCTGTGAGTCAAAGACCTATGAGCTGCTTCACACTGTCCTAAATGTTCAGCTTCTAACACTCTTTTTCTATTCTGCGTGAATCAACACCACATCGCGGTGGAGGGGTTTGTGCAAGATTTCATGAGTTATGGCCAACTTGCCCCTGATACGGTCTCCCATGTCTCCCTGGCGGTGGGGCCGAACAAAGAGTGATTCAGCAAATCCTGGTGAGTGGAACAAATCAAGGGTCCAGTGTACCCTGCCTGGACATGGTTACTGAGGTCCTACCATCAGGGGAAGTGGTATTCTACATACACCGTTGACAGTGGAGATGGGACACTCCTGACTTCGACCGAGAATATAGTTAGGAAGAACACCTTTAGGAGATCCACAGTACCATGCCTTCTTTACTGTAAGCATAGTCTGGGGAGGAAGTGGAAAAATCACCCATCACTGGTGTTGAAATCGCTGATGTAGTTAAACAATTGAAAATGTTAACGTAGGTTTTTAACAGCGGGATTTAAAGGAATTTGTTTAAGTAACACCACCCACTTAAAAAAAATGTTATTCAAATGAAAGTGTATTCACAGCAGTATTTTTATTAGTTTGTAGAAAGTAGTACAAATGCACAGACATAATGAAAACAAAAAAGGTATGTTTGTATGTAAATATTCTTTGACAATGAACATAAACAGGGTAGTGTAATACTGAGAACCAGAACTTCCTCCTCCAACAGAGAACACAATTCTTAATCAGCCTTTAAAAATAAAAAGAAACACATTATATTTGTATAAAATGTTCAAATGTAAGACAGAAAACTGTGGACCAGCTGGAAAGATCTTAGAGGGGAAAAAAATCTACTCCCTTAACCATTAAGATGCTCCACAAAAGTCTGTGGTTGTGGTATAAAGCTATTACAACTTGTTATTTTTTAATCTTTGTATTGTTTTGGTTAAAGGGTCAGTGCAAACTTCTGAATTATATGGTTGAGAGCTATGATTGGACACCAGTGAAATAATTTGGATGGGAAGATGACTTTTCTGAGTCTGTACACCTTCCCTGAGCTTGAAATGAGTCATCAAATGAATCAGTGTTGGTGGTGGATCAATGTCAAAAACCTTCAACCAAATTTCAAAATAGCTGCAGAAAGTTTAAAGTTAAATTAGCAGAGATGGAAACTGACAGCACAAATCATTTAATTGCAGGAATAAACAATGGCCTTGTGCATTTTACTGCAAGATTTTGCTGTGATTGAGACATGTTGCACTTAGTGGCAAACAGTATATGAACATTTGCTTGTCTGGGTACTTTCATGTTGTTTGGTGTCAGGCTGAGTTTATGGTCAAACTTCCTCACTGCAGGTCAAATAAATGGTGCCTCCAACTATAATGCCACCACTGGGACTTTGGCAATACCTAGCACAATGGGTGAGCCTTGAGACAGTGGTGATAACCCCAACTAACACCTCTGAGATAAACTGGAAACCCAGCTGTGACCACAGACATATCACCCTCTGTTGTGTACTAAACAGGAACAACTGTCAAATGGATAGTGACAGGTGTGATGGAAAAAGAGTGATGGAAAAAGAGTGAATGCTCTTGCAGCAACATAATAACACCCATGATTTTGGATTTACATGTTTAACAATGACATGTCGGCAAGACTGATGTCCACAGTTAGTTTAACAGTTGCTTCATGGTCAATTGTGTCATTGGTCTATTTGAGATGGAGAGAGATAAACCAAATTCCATCACTTTAAAATAGCTCAGAGAGGAATAAACTGGCTAACTGCTAATTTGCATCCAGGCTATATCTAATGCTAACCTCTCAAGCAGAGCTTTAACCTGCTTCACTATTAGTATGGTTTAATTTGTCCCGCGTTAAAACAGAGCATCTACCGATAACAGTAGACACCGAATTTCAGGTACTGAGGGGGGAACCCAAAACTACGCACACCTGGTTGTGATGGACCACAGTTAGCCCGGGCCTTTGTGATAGGATAACGGACACTTCCATCAGCCAACCAGCCTGCATCACAGTGGTCCAATCCCATCAGCTTCCATGCAGCATACAGCTGGCCCACTTTGGCAATCTGACTTCCATCACTGGAACAAGCCTGGATCGCTTCAGTGAAGTTGAGCTTGGTTGTGTTCTCTAAGAAGTAAACTGTCCCTATCCAGAAGAGAATAATCATTGAAGAAACTGTAATGACATGGAATTTTTAGATGTAAAAAAATGAACTCAAACATGCTCATACTGACCCTTAACAGACGCAGCGAAGCAGAAAGCGTCATATCGGTGAAGGACACGGTCTCGTTGTCCATAGCTCCGTATACCAGGAGCCAAGTTCTTGCCCCCACAACCATCACGTGGGATTGTGATTGGATACTGCACTGTGCCATCAGCCAACCAGCCAGCATTACACCAGTCTAGCCCCTCCTCCCATGCTGTAAAGAGCTGCTCAAATGTAGCCAAAGTAGCGTCCTGATCCTGGCACTCTCTTTGGGCCCTGAAGAAGTTATAATGGTAGCGTCCTTTCTGAGAGTAGTAAGGAAACACCACACCTGTATGTGAAGGAACAATGTATTACAACAGTTTGTCAATGAGTACATTTCTTTTTAATTCAACATGATCAGAAAACCCCAAAATACAACTCAAATAATTCTCATTTCAAATCTTAAGTATATTCTGAAATGTAGAGTTTCGAAAATCCTCTTTTTTTTCATTAGTGACTGGCAAAAAAATAAAGTCAGCATTTTTTTTTGCAAATTAAAAAAAAAGATTGTTGGATGGAAATAGGTTACATTTTACTCCCATTTATAAAGTGCCATTTCACATGAAAACACCTCCAAGTAGGGTAGTAGTCCCCCACAGCAGTCATGAACAACGCAGAGTGGGCATATTCCACCCTGGCCTCAGATGTGGAAGTGCTATTTCTCCCCCCAGCCGCTTCACACACAGCTCAAACTGGAGCCTATCATTTGATTATGAATCCTCTCTTAAGCTTTCACTTTGTTTAACAAGTTAACGTTTATCACAAACTTAGTCTGCATAAAAATAACAAAACTGCAAGTTCAGAAGTGAAACACCAGAGACTCTGCAGCAGCAATTTTCCGTCCAATCTGATACTAGATACTAGATGAAACTAGATACTGTTAATCTATTTGATGATTTCAAATACTATTCCGATGCTGGATGTCTCTGGTACTCAGGACTGTTGAAGGCCCTAAAATAATATGCATAATCTGCTATTCTATGGTAATGTGATTAATTAAATATTTGTTTTGCAATATGTACTGTTGGACATCAAACAGAACTTGATACTGGGCTCAGATTTTAAACCCATTTATTGAAAATTGCTCATTCAGCATATAAGACTTGGGCTTCATTTCACTTATTTTGTACATTTTATATGGTCCTATGGAAATGTTTTCAAATATAAAATTAATTCATAATTTAGGAAACAAGTAATAATTTACTTTTTTGCTATTAGAAGTACCATTATTATTTGGAAGCGTAGAGCCTAATCCAGCTATACGGTAGGGTGAAACCATAGAGAGGTCTCCATTCTAACACAGATGATTGATTTGATTGATTTATGGTTTTACTGAGTTCTGCTCCCTCTTGCTCTTGGAACCAAAAGTCCACAGCATTTTTTGTGGCCCCCACAAGGATTAATCCAACCTGACTCACTTTGAGGCCCAAACTCATTGATGCAAACAAAAATCTTACCCCGTAGCTCCAGATCCACTGTCACACTGTCATCCTCCAGGCCATCAATCACTTCACAGCGATATCTTCCTGTGTCGTTGACCTGTAGCTCATTGATTACTAGAGACATGTCCCCTGGCGCTGAGCGTCGCAGGCGCACGCGGCCACGGAAGCTGCCGTAGCTGCGGTGGCGGCTTCCCATGGCAACCATAACCTCAGTCTCCTTGAAGAAGGCATCAGCAGAAACTTGTGGAGTCATGGTGTTGGCAGGCAACCAGGACCATTTGACACGGGTCTTGCGTGGTTTAGTCAGTTCAGGCTCATAGTGGTAGTGACACGGAAGGGTGACAGTGCTCCCCCTAGTGGCTGACACTGAAGACTGAGGGGATTCCACGTGGAGACGAATCCCATTAAAATAGACTAGAAAAGTCAGAAGAAAGACAACATGTTAAAAGGCCGAATCAAAGCAAACAGAGCTAGTCTCAATGGAAGGTTTTTATCAAAATTTACCACCATCACAGCAAAATAAACTTGTACCTTCCCCCGTTGTCCTCCTGTATGAAGTCTATGAAGGTCAATTGTGCCTTCACCCAAATGGTTTATATGATTAGCCTGTATTTTACAGATAAAAACTATGATAATCAATGCACAGTCGGCATGCATGTTTACCATTTGCCAAATTATTTTGAGTTTCATAGTAACAATGCAAATCTGATTACACGATACTCAAGTCTGTAAAATCTGTTTAGAGTTACAGAAACATGGATGTGTTTACCGAAATGTGGAGAAAAAGAAGATAAAAGAATATTCCAAAAACACATATTACATGTAACACAAACACACATTGCTCACTTCTAACAGTATTTGTTTTGTTAGCCCTGGATGACTGCCTGTAAATTCATAAATTACAGCTGTTTTCCCACATCCTAATTAGTGCCGACGAGCTGTGTGTTGATGCGTGTACCACAGAATGTGTTAATCATGTCCACACAAACACACGGACAACCTACTCTCTCCGTGTCCATTCCCGTTGCTGATGTCCTGGTAGTGAAAGCCGTTCGTGTAGCCGAGGATCCTGCCCTGACAGCCCGGCAGCAGCAGGAGATACACGCAGGTGACCAGAAGGAGGCGCAGTAGACTGAGCATGGCTACTGCGGTCTGCAGCAAAGCTCATTCAGCTCCTTCAGCTTAAAAACTGTCGAAAATACCCAACAGGACTATCACAATTAAGCTGAGCGCCACAGATTAAACGCTCTCAAACGATCTATTTGTGTCTGTGTTTGAGAAAGTTACACACTATCGGTTAAAACGCAAGTCAGAATAAATTAATAAGATTCATTAGGAAAGTTTGATTATTCGCGTAGAAAAAAAAACTGTCTGCGAAACACTTTCAATGAATTTGTGTAAAAGTACTCTCATTGATCCTTTCACATTTCTTGGCGTCAAATAAAGCAAATACACAGACTGAAGAGACGGAAGAAACTTTCCCTAACAGCTCAGTCGTTAGACAAATGCCGACAAATCTCTCATCGTATTAGCTTAAACTTTCCTGAGTAACAGAAAACTATAAGCCTTCTTTTATCTTCACGAAAACATTAAAGGTTTCAGCTCTGAAATGATTAGTACAAACCGGCTATGTATAAGTAAAGCCTTCTGTTTTACCACCTGAATAAAAAATAATGTTCATGGGACCAGTTATAAAATACAAAAATAATCCAAATCTCACTCACAGAAAAGCAGTTGTCCGCTGAGCGTGTCTTCGCTTCACTTACTCCTCATCCTCTGTTTCTGCTCACCGGATCGTCCTACCAGCCAACCAGTCAGGGGGAGCGCGCGCCAACGTCACGAGCTGAGGCATCCCCTTTGAAGTGAACGGCGCTCGAGCAAAGACCTCATCACCGATGAACCAATGAGATCGTCCTGCAATGGAGACACCGTCGCCGCATCACGTTATAACTTTTTCTACCGACTCTGACGCGTCAACACAAGTTGAGTGCCAAACTAATGCTAGTGCATGCAGCCTAGTTTGCCTTTGCAAGTGAGCCAAACTGCTAAATCCATTGCTCAAAAGCCTTTATTATAAAAGAGAATATGTCTGTGTGTAAGTATAGAGAAACTGTTTTCATATTAAATGGAAAATACATTTGGAAAGTTGGGTCAACTCAAGTGAAGTCATCGATTTTAAAATAAAACGCGAATAAACATGTAAAAGCAATCAGAAGACTTCCTGGTTTAAAGCACAGAAAACAAAAACGGGTTTTAAAAAGGTTGGGATGTGATCGTGATTTACTACTGCAAAGGCCTGATCTTCACCATGTTTTAACTTTGACACCGTGAAAACTATGAGCATCTGTTTTGCAGACTTCAGTGATCTAAAGGGAGTGTCCAGAGTTAAAAGACCAGGGCGTCGACGAGGTATCAGCCTCGCATGTTGCAATAAATGTGATAATATCCAACATGTTTTGATTGTAATCCCTTCATTGCACCTCTTAACTTCCCAGATTTCCTTCGGGGGTTTCATTTTAGCTTCCACTTAACTCCTTTCCTCCACTTTAAGTTTAATTTTGCCAATTTTCTGTGTCCTAAAAGTAACAACTAGGCCACATTAATATTGTTAAAAAGAAATTTAAAAAACAACGCTAGCTTTCTAAAGTGCCTTGGATTAGGAGCAATATTGTAGCCTACTGTTATAATATTTCTTTTTCAACTTAATTACTTTTAAATCAAACTTCTTGCTTTATTTTTATTTTATTTTGTAGCATTTTATCTGTCTAACCTTAAGTAAACCTGAGTAGTGAAGCAGTTTTGCTTGAGAGAAGTTATCCAGTAAGCAGTTCAAACATTTTGACCATCTCACACAATTTTAACAGTAAAAGGTTGCATATACATTCTTATGTTTATGATGCCACATGGAATAAGATCCTAAACAGTAAATATGACTGCAGCACACACGCAGTGTACTGCATCTTGCATACAAATGGAGCCTGCTATTTGACAAAAAATTTATAGGGGTCAGTTCAGTCCAGTCAACCTCTTTAAGACCTCACAAAAATGTGCTCAAATCCAACCAGACAAACCCAAAATTTAAAATAAAACCAAAACCTGATCTGTTATTACACAAATGTAGCTGTGTAATAACAGATAACAACTATGTTATCTGTTATTTCGCAGAGTTTAAGTATAGCTTGAAGACATTGTAGCTTCATATAAGCATTCATTCACATAATCACAGCTAAAGTTTAGAGCAAATTCAAAACAGAGAAAAATCCTCAAAGCCTAATTAAAATTTAACTGTGCAGGTAGATTATATTTGTAGTAGTCAGTGCAAGCTCTAAAGAAAAAAAAATCCTCAAAATCTTGTGCCTTTAAAGAAGAGCAAAACAAATAAGTTATTTATATCTTATTAACACCTACAGACGTGTAAAAGCTGCCTAGTCTCTGCAGTATTGTAAAATTAGTCATTCCCAGGTTGTGGATTCCTGTATAGTGAGGCTGACAGAAAATATTCCATGCCATGTTTGGCCCTGACCTCAAGTAAGACAGCAAATATTGCCATATGAACTCATATTTCAGTCACTAGCTGAAACAAAAGGGGACATTGTGGAAAACAAGAGCAATTCCAGTTCTCCACTGAGGCCTGTAAAATGTGCCGCCTGAATATCTGAGTGAGGGCTGACGGTGCATATGGAAGCTGCCCTCTTGACACTGCTACACAGTGAACCTTAAAACTGCTCTGGCACGACAGCATCATCCTCCAAATGATCTCCAGTACACAGAGTCCCTTCAAAAAAATAATCTTCTGCACGCAATGCTTTCCTCTGTGGGCCGCCCTCTGCAGCCACTGATGTTTTTCTAGTGACTTCACTAACACCCAGCCGGCATAACAGAAACCCAAGCCCACCACTATTCCTGCAAATAGTGGTGGGGGGGGGTGGTAGTGGATTTGGGCATGTTGAGGAAAAAGTTGACTCAAATCCCTGGAAAACATTAAAAGAGTGGATTTTAATGAGTAAACAATGTACATGCTAGTCATACAATTTGTTTGTTTACCACAGTCGCCACACTGAGAATGACACTGAGGGCCAGACATATGTAGTTTAAACACATGCTTTCATTTTAGTCAAAAAATGTATGTCTCAAAACTTTTTCACATGCAGTTTGGTTCACATGAAATGCCCAGTACAAAAAGTTTATCAGCTTTTGTGAAATACAGTTACTGTATGGAGAATTTAACCAAACCAAATCCATTCAGATTTAAAAGCAATATAATTCAATTCAGTTTTTTATACAGCTCCAAATGACAACAACAGTTACCTCAAGCTGCTTTATATTGTAAGTTAAAGACCTGACAATAATACAGAGAAACCTCAACACAATCAATCAGATGACCCCCTGTGAGCAAGCACATGGCAATTGTGGGAAGGAAAAAAGCCCTTTTAACAGGAAGAAACCTCTGGTAGGCAGAACCAGCTCAGGGAGGGGCGGCCATCTCCATTAATGTTTTTTATGTTCTTTATTTCTAAAGTTCACATAGTTTAACTGTTATGTACATACCAGCCACGAAAGTTGTGACTCATCAATCTGAGATTGATTGTTGATGCCTTTCTGAAGCCTCTACACATTACAAAGGTTCCCAGCTCTCTCAAAAATGCCTCCAGAATCAACCCCTTTTTTGCATTACTGCTTAAAGCTAACTAGTATACAAGTAACTGGTATACTTAACTGGTAAGATAAGAAAGTTACCATTAAGAAAGTGCACTTTTGTAAGTGGAGGAACATTAACTGGACAAATCCGAGTTTTGACTTGATAATGGATCTCCAGGTCTGTTTGATGGCCATATTAGGCCCATATATACACTAAAAGGAGATAATATACTTTTGGAGTCCAAATGTTGTATATGAATTATCAGTTCATTCCCGCAATAAATTTTTTGTAATTAAGGTAATACACACACACACAAATCGGTGTTATGGTCTCAGTGATGGAGAAAACAGAAGAAAGGAGGAGGGTATTCTTTATTACCTCTAAATGGTACCATTTGCATACATGCATGCATGTAATCATTCTGTCTGTAAACATGATAGCTCAAAAAGTTTTGAATGAATTCTGATAAAACTTTATAGAGGTGTAGGGCAGAGTCATGTAAACAATCCATTAAAATTTGTTTTACATCCATCAAGCTAACGATTTATTGGTTGAAAACTGACATTGTCAACAAATAGAAAGTACAGTGTAGGCATTTAAAATATCATCACATTTGACCCTTGACCTCTAGTTCAGGATCAATAAATTGATCTGAAGGTCAACCTGATAATAATGATATATGGAGCTATTTAAAACCCTACTTCTTACTGCCATTGTTTGCATTGACAGCTTAAAATCATTTAGTACATGATAAATGATGCATCATGTTATTTTACAATGACATTATAGTTGATGTATGACATCAAATTATGGTAAGAAGTTATAACTGTTTCAGTAAATAATAATTTGACTCCATGTACAATGTTAAAAACAGAATAAACTTGTGATGAAAAGCTTTTTTGACTTGATATTTATTACTAGACATTTAAACAAATTAACTAAACAATGAAGTAAGTGTTACACATTCACTACATCCACATAAATAAAAAATAACTGCAATCAGAATTATGTGAAGTATATTAAAATGGGTTAGAACCGGCAAAATAACAAAAGCCTGCACTTTGTGCTTGTTTTAACTGCACTACAAACTTTTTAAAAATGTATATTTAATTACAACGCTCCTCCCTTAAAAGGAAATTCTGCCCAGAGAGTGAGCTAGCCTGGCAGATGTTTGCGCTCTCCAGGTGCTGGATGTTTTCTCAAGTCTTCAGAGTCTGACATTGATGTAACTGCTAATTTCTAAATTTTGAGGTAATGTTGCATCTTCTTTTTTTCATGTAGCAACATAACTGAGATCAACAAGATTAATAATGGATTGCATTTATATAGCGCTTTTCTAGGCACCTAAAGCACTTTACAATTCCACTATTCATTCACTCACAGTTGCAGCCACAGCTGCCCTGGGGCAGACTGACAGAAGCGAGGTTGCCATATCGTGCCATCAGCCCCTCTGACCAACACCAGTAGGCGGTAGGGTAAAGTGTCTTGCCCAAGGACACAACGACCAGGACAAAGAGAGCTGGGGGATCGAACCGCCAACATTCCGGTTACAGATGAGCTTCCCAACCCCCTGAACCACGGTCGCCCGTAAACAAGAGTTTTAAAAATCATGCTAAACCACAGATCTGTGTGACAGGGAAGTTTGACAAAAATGTTTTGTCACAAGTAACAGTCAGGAATTATGAAATATATTTTACATAATTTTACAAAACCCTCTTTAACTGCCCTTTTAGAACTTTCAGAATGTCTACTGTACATAAAAGAAATGGTTTAGGTGCAAAAAATACTAATGGAGGCATTAAAAGGTATTCCTGTATAAAACATAATGGCAACATTAATGACCTTAACCTTCAAGCTCAGTTGCTTTAGTGTTATTGATTCATTCTGTGAGAATCCCAGCATGTTAGCAAATCACTTAATTGCTCTGAGACATTTGCATCGAGATATTTCATTTCAAACCACAAAGGGCAGAAAATAACCAGAGTCACGCTTATTGTCTGGGAAAAGAAAAGTGAAAGGTTTGCCAACAGTGTTAGGATATATGGAGAACTGTGCCGGAGAACAACACACAGCAATCCATGAAGTTTTCAAGGAGCATACATTTTCACTTTGCAACTTTCTAAGAACTCACAGGCATTTCAATGTCAGTTTGAATTTATGTATCTTT